TATCCCAATAGGTCTCTACGACGCTCGAGTAAATCCCCATTTAGCATCGTGGGCTCCCCTACCATAGAGATCTGTATCGTATTTAAATTTCGAATCTTTTAACGAAGCCTAAATAGTTAGATTTTTTATCGGACCTTTTATTACCGTATTAATCCGTTAATTACTACTCGATTTTAATGTAAAATTTTGTGTTGTATTAAGTACAGCTTTTTTCTTAGGAATAATTGCAAGAAAACTGTTTCAACTCCTATAACTGAGAAGGGAAATTGTATCAAATGATAATGTAGTTTTGTCTTTTCAATGGAATATGTCAGGTTTACCGATTTTATTAATATATTTAAAGGAAAAGATAATCACCATTCTACTATTTAGATTCTTTCGCCATAAAGCTACCGGTTATATGATTATAAAATCTTATTATTTTATTTTCCATAAAATAAATATTAACTTCATCCGTTGCACTTATACCAATAATAACTATTTGTTGAAATAAACAAAAATACCGTATGTTTATTGAATAATATTTGGGTAGTGATTGAATTATTTAGTCATAAATAAATTATTCAAGAAAATTACGCTCAAAGTTTTCCTTTGCCAAGTGCAATACTTGCATTCAACGTAAATATTGAAAGAATTTATATATAGTTTTGATTTGTATTATGTTCTAAATTAGAAACGTTGGTATCTTGTTTTTCTTAATTTATTTTCTTGTATTTACCTGGAATTTTTTTCAACCGACATGCCAAGTTAGCAGTGAATACACGAATAAAAAACAGGTTTAAACTATAATAAATGGTTGTCGATGCGAGACGAATTTGTAAGACAATTCAGCACAAATTTCACGGTCAGACATAATAATCATCACGTTGGCACTGACAACTCATTAAAAAAAACTACAATACATTTTGTTGTATGTATTTTAAACTCGTATGTACTTGTAGCTCTAACTTCAATAGCAATATATCGATAGTTAATATTTTAATATATTAACGTTTTGCCATTTTGAAGCGCTAACGCAAATATATACACAAATATACCATATTAATCCTCTTAAAAATTGAATATAAATTGTTGCCCACCTGAGTTAAGTTCGGTGGCGATTGTTGGAAGGACGTTCATAGCTAATATCTAAGTTAAATAAATCTCTAGGTTTGAAGCTTAATCGTTTAAAAAATGAGCTTGTAACCAATATAAAATTAGAGATAGTGGGGTTGCGACGCTGGATTAACAAAAAACTAACTTAGCTTATTTATGGGTTCTAATATAAGTGTAGTCGATCTGTTGGACAATATTGGAAATGAGAATGTTATATTACAATTTATAGGAGAGTGGGAAAAACTAAAGGGCTCATTTTGGCTTCAAATGTGCGATGATTGTTTACTTATATATATATGTTTACGTTATATATATATATATGTAACTTAACTAATGTTAGGTTACATATCTCGTGGTCTCTCAAAACAATCAAATGCTACACTCTGCTTTGATGATGATTATTTAAGATAATAAAAAAATGTCGACGCTAAAAACTATACATGATATATTCTTATTAAAATTTATTTAATCGTATTTGTACGATGTACGCTTATGAACACTTATGTGCAGTTCCCAAATTAACGGCGTAGAGCGGTCGAAAAGAACTGGGAACCGCCACTCTTTTTATTGACCTCTTTGTAAAGAACAACCATTACGCTATGCATACATAATATATAAATAGAGAAAATAGGCTGTAAAATATGCCCCGTCAACTGTAACTAACACTTTTTGACAGCAATAACAGCAATGGATGTAAATGTTTGATAAATTTGCAGTTTATATATTGAGTTTAATGCTGCGTGCGTAAATTATTAATTAGAAATCAGTTTTGTACCATGTATGTGTATACTTTTGGTCAATATCAGATTAGGTCTGATTTTAGATGTGTAATGCAATTACAATACAGCACGGTTTTAAAAAGAAAACTCATTTTACGCTAGATACAGAGAAAATTGTTTAAAGACTACTCTGTACTAAGAGATTTGAAAATGGAAACTGAATGTGGTATGATGGCGCTTTTAAAATATGACAATGGTACCACCAACAATTTTACGCCTAAAGCAGTATTATTAATTTAATAAATATTTCAATTGGCAAACATCCTAATCGTGCTTAAACAATATAACTCTTTAATACCTAGGTATTACTAAAAAGGGTCATTGCACTCTGCCCTAGCTAAGGGATATCTGCCAAATAAGTCGACTAATAAATACCAGAAAGAAAAAAACATTGCATACGTAACTATTTACTAGCTATCTATGTATAGCACTTGTCAATGACATATAAATTACTAACATGTCTTATTTACATAAGATATGTGTAATTAAAGATTTTTCAAATGTTTTAATTTATAGATCTAAATTTTATATGGCTACGCATTTTATGTGCTTGATTACAAGTTACACTCTAGTTCGGTGTAAATTCGTTAGTACTATATAATCTATAATCATTTAAGAAAAAGTTAAAACTCTTAATGTCTTAAGCCTTCCTTGTTTTTTTTATAGCTGCTAGTTTAGTGTTACATTTTGTGCTGTCATGTTTTGTCTTGTTTCACTCTGTATTGTATTTTTTATTAGTAAAACTTTTTTACATATTACATATTTAAAAAAGTTTTACTAATATATACACATACATACATATTTTATTTTATCATTATGACATATTTATTCCTATCACAATCTGTTCTTTTCTGCATATTACTTTTATAATATAATGTCGATGTTTCACATTTGCCAGGCGTCCCGTGACGGCTCTGGAGGTGGCCAATTTCTCGACAAATCTGAGATTTGCTCTAAATTTGCCCTAGAGATTTCCCGTTTGAAGAACCTGGATGCTGAGTTATATTATTTACAGCTTTATTAAGTTTGCCAATAGTCGCATCACAGGATGTCACCGCTTCTGCCTTTCAACGCAAGGCTGCCTTCCAAGAGCGCCGCCAAGTCTGGGACTTGCCACCTATCGGCGCCGCTGAAAATGGAATAAAAAGTTCCATACCCTGCAGCACCACCTCGGCGACAGAGTCAGCAACGGCATAAAGAGTTCGCCGTGGAGAGGGATTTGCGCGAGCTTCGTGTGACCGATTGGCAAGTGGCAACGACAAGGTGACGTTCTCTTGTCTTGGAGGCCAAGATTTACTTTAGGTCAATGTGCCAGAGTACGTAAATAAATTATATAGGTGACATTAAGCTTGCTTGCTTTTTTAAAAACACGTTTTTCGTAAGATTTTTAGGTCATAATATACTTATACCTTGGGTGATATAAATAACGCTGTGTGGGGTAAATTTTCGCTACAAAAAGCAGGAATCCCTTGTTTAATATCAAAATATAGTATAACTGATGTTTCCCTGACATAATTCGCCGGTAAAAAAAAATCGTCAGCATTTAAGTAAGCTGAAAATCGGTGTTTGATTCGGACATTGCAATTCTCTATACAATTTGAATAAGGTATGGCACTATTGTATCGATGTTAGTTAAAAGTTCCATAGTAACATGTTTTTTTAAAAAACCTTATGAAAAACTAAAATTTCATACAAAGCCAGTCAGCAGTTGGTCTGTCTGTGAATGTTGAGTCAGTCAGCAATCCTTTAAAACAACTTTGTATAAACCTATTAACATTAATGATCAATGCATGAACGACATTTCTCGAACGTTTTCATATAAATTACACATTTACTACGCGGAACTGCCATAGGAATGACTCAAAAAACACTTCCTTCCTTTAGCTGAGTAATAAGAAAGGTGATAAATTATTATTCTACTGTGGAGGTGATTGACCTTTGCGTATGGAAATAATTTCTTATTTTATCTGATATTGGATAAGAAATTAATTAGTTTTTTACCAAATTGAAATGAGAATACTTTATATATGTTTGTATGTTTTGGGGTTACATATAAGATCATAAACGTCGGTAGTGTAAGGGTTTTAAATTTTAAAATTTATAGATTGGGTTGACCCGCGATGCGGAGAGGGACGATTCTTCTGGCGTCAGCGGGGCTACTGATTTTCATTTATTCAATAATCAGCTCCAATTGGCACTCTATAAAGTGCGGATTCCAATAACTATGACCTCACCGGCGAATGTCAATGATAGTTATGTATTTTAATATCTACGGCGCGAATGTTGCAAACTTGAAATTCAAGACGAAAGTCAAGATATCAATAAATCGGAGATACACACATAAATGTCTATGTAATAAATATTAATTAAATAAAACACAGTTTCCTTATTTCTAATATATTTTATATATAATAGATATTTTACAAAATATACATCTAGACCTTAAATTACTATATTTAAATATTGCAAAACGTCCTCACGTATTGGTATACGAATAATACTTGGGAAATTAATAAAAATCAGTCTTGCGTCCTCATAGACTGAAAGTTATTATTATTCTCTCAAACGTAGTTAATATTTATATAACATAATTTGTGTAGCCTCAAAATGGTTAACGTTGACTTGAATACTTGCTAGGGTAATATTTAATCTCCAAACATAGCGCTAAGCACTACTACTATTACGTTTTTGACATACCTAAGTCCATAGTAAGCTCTAAGTCTCGACTCTGAATCTAACCCTAAAAAGGCAGCACCCCTAGAGGCCAAGCTTTGGCACTATGGCATTGATAAATAACATTTTAATAAGTTCATATCAAAATGTATCATCAATGCCAAGCATAAGAGGTAGTAGGTTTTGCAATTTCAATTGTATTGTATTAAATCAATACCTTATTTAAACAAATACATAAGACAATAAACCTCTTAAATATCACAAAGTGAGGTTTACTGAGCCTTTAGGTAAAATAATACCAAGATTATCTGACAATATGATAAAAATTTGGGTCAATGCAGTAATTACCAATATCAAATCAAAAGATATTTGCGCAAGTTTAAAAAAACATTGCAAAATTATAACATAATCTTGGTGAATTTTACCTTATCCATATAAAAAATATTTCCATAATCATGACGAAGCGGCTACTGGTCGTGTCTCATCAACAGTAGTTATCGTTGTTGTGCTGTTAATAACGGTATGTGAAACATTCGTAGGGTTATTTGAGTCGCCAGCGACCCTATTATCAGCGTTAGGAATATTTGACGTATCTGATGTATTGGTATTGCTCTGTGTGGCCAGTGCGGCAGTAATGGGTTGGTTGATGGGTTGGCCAGGAGGCTGGTATCCTGGGTAGTGAATACCAACTACTTCTTCGTAGCTTGGTGGGGCCATCGCCTCTGAAAATTTAGGAATAATTTATTAGCTTATTGCAATTATCAAGTCATAAGCGACGCGGGCTTCAAGTTTAGATTTTTACTTTACGAATAAATCAGACGTTGCTGTCTTCTCTATCTCATACAAAGTTATATTAAGAACATCATGTCTTTTTAGTATCATCGACAGTTTAATTCAGGTGATTTTTAGCAATCGTAGTGGGTGCGAGAACTAAACAATTTGGCGAACGTGAAATCCGCCAATTATTTTTAATTTTACCTACTGCGCCAAAATGTGTTTATTCAAAATAAGATAATATTTACCATATTTTGGTGGTGGAGGTAGATTGGCTGGGCTGACGTAGATTGTAGGCTCTGATGCTGGAACAGTGGTCTGGGACCGGGAGCCCATATACGCTCGTCTCTGTTGTGGATTTCGCGTCTTTTGTCCTGGAAAGAAGAAAGAAATAATAAGCATTTGAGTGCAGCACAAGGGGTCATTTGAAAAGGAATCCAGAAATTAAGTACTTTTTATGATCTGTTTTACTGTCTAAAAGTTCTAGCAAGAAATTAACAATAATAATTACATAAAAAATAAGACAATTAAATAAGACAATATTTTTCAGGTTTTATTTTAACTCGCTATTAGAACTTACAAGACAATTGCCTACTTTTATTAACACATTTTAATAAACTCAGATTTTAGTATGATATGTAGTCTCCATAATGCCTATTATTTGAATATATTTTCCAAATTTTTGAAGTGTGACCCTCAATCATACTAAGATAACTTGATCGCGGATGGCTGAAATTTAACATTTCAATAACATTGTTATCTAGTATAATGTATCACTTTCTGGTAAAGACGTCATCAACACAAGAACAGGTGGGTATCAACTGTGATTAATATTGATAAATGTCTTACTTGTTATTAGGATTTACTTAATGCTGTAAATTTTAGTGCACGCTTCAGATAAGATAAATCCTGGCTTTACGGATATAAAACAAAAACAACATAAGGCATTTTTATATACACAAGATCCACGTCATTCAAAGAGAGAATTCTAACGTCCACTGCCTTGCGATTCTGTAACTCACTTTTCGAACTCACACAGCGGTTTTCGCATCGGCGGTCGCTCTCAAATCAGTCGTGAAGCAGTCATTTTATGATTTGGCATTCTGAAAAGGTGGGAGCTGGTAGTTTATTGTTTATCAGAATGCCAAATCATAAAATGACTGCTTCACGACTGATTTGAGAGCGACCGCCGATGCGAAAACCGCTGTGTGAGGTCGAAAAGTGAGTTACAGAATCGCAGGGCTGATGTCAAAGAGAGAGGTCCTATGCCGACGAAATTTTACTACATTTAAGTATGTTGTTTTATTATAATACCCAATGGTAATAATCGGTTATCGTTTAAGGAAAAATGAATTGAATTATCGTTAATGAGAAATATCATAGTACAAAATGATAACATGAAATGTACATACAATGACAATAACGATGCGTATCATCTGTTAGCAAAACATATTTATTTATTTATTGAAGTTTACCACATCATACATCTACAGTATATGTTACAAGCTATCTTTACTACAATTTTCGTAAACATAAATGTTACAAAAATACACATATATGTATACTAGTAATTTTTTAAGCAAAAAATCCAGCAAAACAGTGGATTAGGTATGAGATAGGCAATTCACAATACTTCTGTTTAAAATTGATCAGCATCACTACAGAATATATCCAGCTCCGGAAAATCCGTTATATTCCCGAAGAATTCGAAACAGAGGTGCCTGAACTCCTAGGTTGGTTTTTGCAGACGGAATTTGGAAAATTCTGCTGATTTTAAACCTTGGGTTTGAAATAGACTCGACGGATCAACAATGTTAATATCCTGTAAGAGGTTACTGTTCTGTATTTAACCATTGAGCAATTTGTATAATATCCTAACACCGGCTAAAGATCTCCGATCGTACAGTGACATCATATTATATTTCTGAAGTCGCTGATGGTACGAGTACCCGCGTATGACATATTTAACAATGTAATAAAATAAACACAATCCGAGTTATAGTTCTAAATGATCTTCTAATTTGGCATTTATTTAAATACGGAGTACAATGACCTTTTATATTGTAATCTATAGTAGCAAGTAAATACCCGCGGACACGCGAATTCCGTCTTTCAATTTATTACAAAATGCTTACGCGCAGCCGCAGTCTACAGGGGATTGTATTTCACGGGATTGTATTTCACGGGCACCTTCTACATATAGGTGATACAAAAATACTTTAAAATTTGTATTGTAAACAGTCAATCAATGAACGATTATCAAGGTCCTAAACAATTTCATATTAAATAACGTTAGAATGGTAAGGATAATTTCAGTTTGGTAAGATGTTTTGCCAGTAATTAACAAATGAGAGATGGAATTTGTAAACTTGGTTGAAAAACGCGGCTAAAGCTTAGTACTGTTATTTTGTGACCAATCTGTTTTTAAGCTATTACTTCAGTGATTATGAGAGCAAATTGAATATTGAAGCAAATTAGTTCTGTACTGTATCGGTCAAGCGAAAGCTATACCGATAGCTTAGTGTCTTATAAAGGTGAAATTTAATAAATATTATAATTACCTTTTTCTAACCATCGCAGCAATATGGAGAGGAGAATAGCAATTGCTATCGTTACAGTTAAAACGACGACACAGAAGATGAAACGTTGAAATTGCGTTTGAAACATGTCTTCATTAACAATATCAGTAAATATATTTGTGCAGTTGATATTCGAACTATCACACATTTTAATTTATATTATAGAAATTAAAGATCAAAGATGAGATTCACTTCTGACCCGTACAGACAAGATATAAAGCTACCCGCAAACCTATTTTAAAACTTTTTGTTAAAAAAACTTTTTATAGTTTCATAGACAACGATTTATTTAGAATAAATACAAAATAAGAGGTAGCGTTCTTATATATGATAGTGATTTTATCATTGAGATTAAAATAATCAAGTAGGTTATGCACAATATAGGTACTGAGGACAGCCCAAATCGATTCTAGATTTATAATACAGGTTATGTATCAATTGTTATCGAATTTATTTTGAACTATTTTAGCATCTTGAAGCAATAATTTTATTAAAACCGTTAAAAATTAATTCCCAAATCTTTATTACTTATGGGAGTATTTATATGCACTAATATAGATATTTATAGTACCTAAATTATATTTAAAATATCATCGTGTAGTTTGCTAATAAGAATAACGTATGTGTAATGGTTCAAGGTTCCACTTTGCATCAAATCCCCGGCTTTGGATTATTTGACTTTTTTTAATTAACATTTCAAAATTGGCGTCATATGTGAGGTACTGAAGGCTGTCCTATAAAATAATGATCAAAGAAACAAATGCAATCCATGAAGGGTTGTGCCGCAGTAATGAATTATATAAAAATGTTTTATAGCAAATTAGCTAACTTTTCCCACAAGCTATATGTCCACATGATTTGTTATTGCAACGGAGTGTTAGTAACTAAGTAAACAAGTTTTTTCAGTTAATACGGTTAGTAGACAATTTTAATACAAATATGTTGATTGTGTTTCATGTTATGGTTGGAAAAAATTCGTTAGTAATCGTGCCTTATGCGCAGATAAACAATAAAATATCAAACATTAGGATATTATCAATATAATCTTAGGTAGCTGCATAAGTCATGTGATTAAATAAACTATATTATTATTTTTATAAAATATGATAACTATGTATTTACGTCAAAAGTATCATTGACGTCACTTTGATGGTATAAAGCCTGTGTGATTTTAAATTTATGACAATTAATTATACATCCATTGATTACCCTCCAGTGTTTTACGCTGTGCAATTATTAAATATTTTAAGTTTTCTTAAAACCTTTTTATTCACTATTCTCATACCTGTTGTTGCTACTTCTCCAATATTATTTTCAGTGAAATTAACAATTTTATAAAAGGTACTCAAAATGTAGCCCGATGTGTATAATAAATAAAAATGATCTAAATGGATTCACTAATACCTGTTAAGTTTTGCTTCAATGCTCCGATTACTGTTTAAGTTATAAAGCATAGGGATGTCTATACGAAAGGGCTATTGCAAGATCGCGCGGTTATGACAAGTTTATATGTATACCCGACGCCTGAGTTTTTTAAAAATTTATCTATAGACTTCATGATCTATAAAATTAACATTGATGAATAAGTACACTTGCCACATCACACACAAAGGGTAGACCGAGGCGAATCGGATCACAGGGCGAATCGGATCAAACTAAGAAATGTGTTGATAATTCAAATATCACATTCACATAGAACGCACTCAACCGGCGTTTTGTGTCTCTCCATTTACTGAGCACCTCCCGACATAAGCAGTATTGCGATCGCGCTTGTGGATCAGTAGCAATGCCGCTCGTCAGCCACTCGGTTTTTTGTGTGTGTCGCAATTTGGCGCTCATCTAAGGTTACGTACTTACGATATCTTTGTGTCATATGACGGATTTGTCTTAAAATTTAACTACATTGGTTTATATTGTTAAGCAAGGTTATTGAAGAACCAATTCGCTTTTAAGTATAATCATAGAGGTTAACGTCTAAAATATTTATTTCAAAAGTCTTAATTATGGGGCTAATCGGATCATATCCTTAGGGGCGAATTGGATGATACTTTTAAACTGATTTATTACATGTTTGAGGTTATTGATTCATATTTATTTCATGACCGCCGGAGAATTGTGTCAAGAAAAAATGAAAGAGGCTGTAAATTAAGCCCAGAACAAAGAGTTGACCTTGCGTAAAGCTGCTAAGAGTTTTTCAGTACCGTTCACGAGCTAACAGAAAAAAAGGACCATAATATATATTTGAATTATGTGCCAATAATTAAAATTGATCTTATTATTATATATTTTTACTAATTCCAAAGTTATTTAACACTATACCTTAAAATTTTGTTATATTTTGTGCACGATCCGATTCACCCCGAAAGTTGGGGCGAATCGGATATTTTCCTTTTTTTAGTTTTTAATAGCTAATTAAGAGAATATATGTATGATTTAAGTTTTCAAATGTTTATTGCATAGCTAAATGTTACTTCTTACGATTTTATCAATAAAAATAACATTATATAGCACTTTAGTATGATTTACTCAACCTCAAAGAAAAAGTGATCCGATTCGCCTCGGTCTACTATACCAAAACTTTACATGTGTTTGGACCAAGCCACAATATTGCACTTAATTATATATTAACGAAAGAAATACGTACGCAAAGTCAGCAGCCGTAACATGAAGTACAAAATGAGCCAAATAACTATGATTAAGATTAGCACCAACAAGTACCACATCGCCATCTGAGTTGCACTGCCGTCGTCGTTTCCCTTCGGATTGTCCGGATAAGTTTCCGTCGGAAAATCATAATCCGGAATCCCATATTGGGGCGGCATTTTACACTTTCAAATGTTTGCGTAACAAACAAATTAAGTGTTCAAAATACGATTTTAAATTAATGGCATTTTCACAGTAAGAACTCTTTGTTACTGAGCTATTCGACATATTGTTGAGTGGTGTGATAAAAGATTTATCTGATTGACACTATCGCGTTGTCTATAGATATTTTTAAATTTGATCAATATCGTGGAATATTTAGTTTCGTTATGAGGGAAATTTAATAAAAATAAATTAGAAACTGTTATAATATAAAATTATTTGGTACACAAATTATTTTAATAGTATTTAAGAGTATAAAACAGTACAAAAATATAATTGTTTCCGTATACCAAAAAAATGTAAAGACTGCGTTGAACAAGGTTGCACATCATCCTTTAAAATAACAATGAACATTTCCAAGTATTTCCACCGGAAAGTATTGATAGTAAATGGTAAGATAAATGTGATTTTGATATCATATTATCTCGTGACCAATTTTTTCGAAGCTAAACTGTTACATAATTTCTTATATAAACGAACCATGGGTAATAAAGTTATGAGATTTAGACGTACAGTTAATAACTACGAATTTACATTTTAAATATATCAACAATTTGAATTCAAATTTTAACTGAAAGTATAGCATGTTCAGGCTGCACATATATATAGATATAGTAAATTAAGATCTTGTTGAAATAAATTTGATAAGGTTAAAACAGACGGACAGAAACAGCGTGTGACTGACAACTGAGGTCGTGTGCTCGAATCCCGTTTAAACATTGGATACACAACTAACACATACGTAAGCAATGAATAATTACATCGTAATGGCTTGTCTTAGCCCCCTTTATCACTAGTACAATGCACAGAATGCAGGACAAGTAGGGTTTTTTCATTGAAAATGAATGTAAAAAGGCCCACAACGCGTTGAAGTCACTGAATTTCTTAAGTTAGTAGGTAGGAATGGTTAATAATTACCCAGTGAAGACATTTTTATGCACAGAATAACAAAGGACATAATAAGAAGAGTCGAAAATACTGATATATAAATAAGTGAACCAGTTGTAATTTCATTTCGACTAGACGTTATCTCATTTGGGACGATCATGACGGCACTTCACTTATTCAAATTTATTATCGAACACTAACATGAAATTTAGTGGGAAATGTTCATTTAAATGGCATCACTAATTTGTTAATAAAAACTCATTGGAGCCGTAATTTAAATATTCTTTTCGGTATTGAGGATGCAAATTGAATGCTAAATCTTGTCAATCTAATGCAATCTCTGGTATATCGTTTATGTATTTATTTGTAGGGCATTTTTCAAGAGTTATCTGACAGTTTTTTATCTATTGAAATAAATCACGAATAGCGAATACTGGATAATAAACGTATGTAAACATCTAAACATTACAAGATATTTATCCTAACGAAAAGTTGATTAAAGCCTGCATAGTAAAAAGGCACGCGTCCCCATATATTATATCACGTCATTAAATTATTAATAAAACTATTTGTATGTGATATTAAATGAGTTTGTAATACTTACATCGGAAAATTTTAACACAATTAATTCTCAACTCAATAATATTTGTACTAAATGCATCATTGACATAGGTACGCCATACGAAGTCGGCCATTTTTAATGACGTCACACAAATAATTTACTGAGGGCTGGATTATAAAAAAAACTTACTGTATATCCGTATCGCAACAAGACATAATATGACAAATAAGACTACAATCCAAAGAGTTAAGCTCATGTACATTTTTCACGCAATTTGTCGCAACTCGCAACGAAATACTAATCTATCGGCAATTTTACATACATTTCCTTATACATAGATAATTAATTAATCTTATCAGTGTATCAATAAAAATAAGACTTGATAATTTCGATAAATTTAGTGGAAAATAATTAAAAGGGAAACATTATTGGATTCGAATTTCAACTGAAACGATGACGTCAGAGATTAGAAGGAATTTAAATAAATTAATGGCGATGATTATAATGATTTTATATCCTACCACTCTAGAACATTTGTGTTGTTAATAAAAATTAAATAGCGTAAACTTTATATTATTTTCAGATACAATTAAATATGAAGACACTATAAACTATGTTGGCCGTTCTCCAGTGTACATATAGCTATCAATACTTCAAAAAAGGGTGTCCTAAAGAGTTACTTAAGGTAGCCTTCGATAGCTTGTGTCATGTTACTTAGGTTGAAAGTTCGCGCATGTGTTAGTAGGTATATAAGGAAACGACTTCTGAGATTCGAACTCACGTACAAAAGTTTTAAAAAAGAATTCGAAGTCCATGGAAACATTCAAATAATGCAACAATAATAACGCAGAAAAACACTCACCAAAAAATCTTATTAAAACACCATAGAGAATCCAAAATATTAGAATATTAAAGGTTATAAAAATCAATAAAGAAGACAAATTCGACATTTTCGTTTCGCTATCGAAAACAAAATATTAGCAGGTACCTACTCATTTTATCGCTCGCTATCTACCATAAATAATTAGAGATTATTTATCGATTACAATTCGTAAAGTCTTTGTTATATTGCAAGCTATATTTGAAACACTATAACGACGCTCTAACACATCTTTAATTTAATGAACGTACAAAAAAATTACGAATATAATGGATGGAAATGGACACTATCACCACCTTCACCTTCCCGAAAAATTTCTGACAGAAAGAGCCAGAAGCCTCTTTATCGGGGTTGGAAAAAAATTTAGTGTAACATTTTTGCGTTACGCGTCACATTTTTCCGTTACGCGCCATGTTGCTTTTTGAAGTCAAACTTCTTTATCGGCGTTAAAATATGACATATAGTATGTTTTTTACTTTGATGTTTGACAACGGATTACGTTTTCGAAGTCAAACTTCTTTATCGGCGTTAAAATATGACATATAGTATGTTTTTGACTTTGAAGTTTGACAACGGATTACATTTTCGACTTGAAATTTGCTAATCGCAATTTGCAGCAATTAATTTGTAAATTGTATGCTAGGCAGTGTATCAAAATTTACTGTGTTTAAGAAATAGTTTCTAATAAGGTCATAAAGAAGTTTCACTTCTTACGTGTGTACACCTAGTACACGCACACATTTTTTTTCACTACGGTATAGCAAAGGTTTTACAAAGTACATATATATAATAATTAACATCTGCATAAAATATGAACGATGATTTGTTGTAAAGTAAAGTTTCGCCTGTCAAAAAATCCAAGCAAAAATGTATTTTATGCATATTTGCCCTAATTTTACAACAGGCAACTTTATTTGAAGAAAAACCACTGTCAGTGTTTTTTATTAAATGCGGTGATTGCCATTACTATTTATAACTGTATTTTCATCTGTATTTTTTTAGTTAAGCAATAATGATTACATTCTTAATTTTCATACAAATTCTTTACGTACGTTGTACGAACATATACACATTACACATTATAAATCATTCAAACTAGATTGTTCGTTTTATAGACTTCGTTCATATTGAAAGTTAATATTTAAAAATACATTTAAAAAACTAATTATAACACAAGGTTAGGTAAGATTGAGAAAATAGTAATGAAAAGATAACTCGCTAATTATCGTTACCACTTAAAAGCAATTAACGTAGCCAACGTTCTTTTACAAGGTCCTATTTATCTATATCAAATTCAAATTCAAAAATCATTTATTCACGTAGGTAACACAATGTACACTTGTGATTCGTCATTAAAGAAATAAATATTAATGCTTCTAATTTTATATTTACTGCCAGTTCTCAAATCAAGGGCGTAGAACGGAAGAGAAGAACTGGCAATAAACTTTCCGCCACTCTTTTTAATCGCCATGTTTTTTTTTTTTTTTTATTTATTTATTTTTTGTTTTTCAAAATATATAATATTTATCAAAATTCATACATTGTTTTTTACTGATTTGAGTCTTTGATTGAGTCTGACGAGATTTGATAATGTGTCTTTGGCTAATAGATAATTAATATTACTTAAAGTTATAACCCTGACCACTTTTAAAAAGTTCACCAGGGTCGCTGAGTCGCTTTTGCCTCTTACATTAATCGATGCTCAATTAGTTTATAATAACTTTACATCAAATTAGTCGTCTCTTTCCGTCAAATTGTTTTTCCTATGCGTTGAAAAGAGATAAATTAATTTCATTAGCTAATGCGATCTAATGCATCAAAATTTTCCACTTTGTTTTAAAATCACTCATTCCGGTAGCCTTCAGATAAATACTTGATTTAAAATTATTTTATTACAAAACGCAAACAAGTTTCCTGGTTTAACGGGTATCGATTTAGTAAATAGTGATAAATATTAATAGAAAAGAATATTATTAATTAATATTTGATCCTTGCTGGTAGTAAGGGACTACGACACCATAATTTGTAAAATATATACATCAAGGCCAAGTTACGTTAAAACTTACGATCCGTCACATATTTCCCAAAGCAAAACCACAGCCATATCATGTAAATAGTCATAAACACGATGACTCCAAGAAGAAAAGTCGTTATTGAATACATTTTCCAACTAACCCCTAAGAAATGACACTGCAATATTGTTTTAATATTCGTACTAACTCGTTCGCACTTTGCTAAGTTAGTTTCAATAACCGGTGTTTATTTGAAAATCGAACACAACCAAAAACGCGTGAAAATAATGGAAGACAATAACGATAACTGTGGTGCTTGTGGTTTTTAATTGCATACCGATACATGCTCAGGATACTTCGTGATACTACAGAAACATAAAATACAATATAGCGAAGCGTCGCTCTGCTTTAATTTATTAATTATACGTTCGAATATCCGGTTTCCTGGGAAAATAATTTAAAATTGCTCACATTCGATTTTTAAATATCATAGTAAAAAATTGTGAATGATAATTTTAATACATATATTGTTCGTATTAGGAATTACGCCAAGCTTTATTAAAATACAAATAAACCTCGTAATTTCAAAAATTCAATTGATAAACATCAAGATTT